TACAATGAGTCCGGAGGATATATCATGGGCTCAGAGCTTCGGAGACACTAGTGCCGATCAAGGATTAGGTATTGCTGTGGACGCATCGGGCAGTTCCTACACTACCGGTTTTTTCGAAGGAACTATGACGGTGGGTAACACCACCCTCACATCTGCTGGTTCGGGAGACATTTTCATGATCAAGCTGGACCCCGATGGCAATCCTGTGTGGGCTCAGAGCTTCGGAGGCACAAGTTTCGACCAAGGAAATGGTATTGCTGTGGACGCATCGGGCATTTCCTACACTACCGGTTCTTTCCAAGGAACCATGATGGTGGGCAACACGACTCTCATAAGCTCTGCTGATTCGGGAGACTTGTTCATGACCAAGCTGGACCCCGATGGCAATCCTGTGTGGGCTCAGGGCTTCGGAGGGAACGACGACGATGAAGGATTAGGAGTTGCTGTGGAGGCATCGGGCAGTTCCTACACTACCGGTGAATTCCGAGGAACCATGACGGTGGGTAACACCACCCTCACGTCTGCTGGTTCGGGAGACATTTCCATGATCAAGCTGGACCCCGATGGCAATCCTGTGTAGGCTCAGAGCTTCGGAGGCACTAGTCGCGACCAAGGCTATAGTATCGCTGTGGAGGCATCGGGCATTTCCTACACTACCGGTTATTTCCAAGGAACAATGACGGTGGGTAGCACCACCCTCACATCTGCTGGTTCGGGAGACATTTTCATGATTCGGCTGGACCCCGATGGCAATCCTGTGTGGGCTCAGAGCTTCGGAGGCACTAGTCGCGACCAAGGCTATAGTATCGCTGTGGACGCATCCGGCAGTTCCTACACTACCGGTCATTTCCAAGGAACAATGACGGTGGGTAGCACCACCCTCACATCTGCTGGTTCGGACGACATTTTCATGACCAAGCTCGACCTCGACGGCAATCCTGTGTGGGCTCAGAGCTTCGGAGGCACTGGTGTCGACGTAGGAAATGGTATTGCTGTGGAGGCATCCGGCAGCTCCTATACTACCGGTTTTTTCCAAGGAACTATGACGGTGGGTAACACCACCCTCACCTCTGCTGCTTCGGACGACATTTTCATGATCAAGCTGGGCACCGAGGTTCTGTGATGTAGACGTTTCTCAAAAAAGATCGACGCGAATCACCGAAAGACACTATTACAGAAAATTATAAACCATTATGTGCTGTGACATATCATGACATGAATCGCCAAAGGCATCTTTGTTTTCAAAAACATATCTTTGTTTTCTCGAGTGCATCCGTTGAAACTTGTGCAATGAACGCATGTATGTAACGTGGCTCAATTGCTTCGTGTGCGTCCCATATTGTTCATATTCCGAACAATACCATCCGTGTCTTTCCATCCTGAGGCCCCCACTTGCGTTTGATCCTCCCTGACATGATCAATGCTGCGATCATTAGGTCGATCATCTTGATGTACATCATCTCCGACGCCATCATCCTCACTTGTATCAGTAGGTGGTACCTAATCCTCCTAATGAGCCCCACTGTTTTCATAGACCCTATATTGTCCTCTTCTACATCGTCGTGTATTCAACTCTAATAACTGGTTGCTTCTATTTCGCTGCTGGAAACTTTGTCTCATCAAATGTCACATGTCCAGATTTGATGTATTTTCCAATAGAAGGCATATAAATCCGAGAACATTTAGGGTTGTTCCCTACGTCATCATAGCCAATCACAATTCCCTCTAGAGAACGATCATCGAATTTTCCTCTCGTAACAGACGTATCATGGACAAATGCCTTGCACCCCAAAAATCTGACCTGCTTTACATTCGCATGCTGCCTGAACATTTTGCAGTAGGGCGTTTCACCCCCACTCAATGCAGAAGTTCTAGCTCGGTTTAGAATATATGTCGCAGTTTTCAAAGCTTCAGCCCCGAAACGTTTTTCCAGTCCAGCCTGTATACGAAGACCTCGAGCCATATTTGATGATATGTGCCATGACTTCTCATCTTGCCTGATGCCACGGCTCTTGCAGAAAATTTTGAAATCTATCCCAGTGTGTTCACCTCCATTATCTGATCTAATCCCAATCAAAGACTTCACTTTGCGATCACGGAGTAATCCATTCATATGCTGAATGTATCGTTTCAAGCAATCTAGAGATTCTGATTTGCGCCTCATTGGATATACCACCCTCCATCGGGTGTAATCATCCGTAAATCCAATGGCATATCGTGCGCCTGCAGGTGATTCTACCTCTACAGGTCCAAGTACATCTATATGCACTAGCTCGAGAAGGTTTTTCGCCCTCTCCCTAGGCTTGGCACCGTAGCTCAATTTTATTTGTTTTCCTCGTTCACACGTTCCTCAAACACCGGGTTTCTTAATCCCTTTTGGCATGCCGGTATCATCAATTTTACCCAGTTGTCTCAGCTATTCATGATTAATATGACCGAATCTCTTGTGCCATGGTTCAGGTTAGCTAACAACATAAGCTTCCTCACGAGTTTTGCCATAGAAGTCTATCAAGTATATGTTATCTACTTTTCTTATCGGTAAGCACGTATCACCTTTCTTAATTATACCCTTCCCTCTACGGATTATTATATCTACACCGGCTTTATCAATTCTAGCCTTGGATAATAAATCATGACTCAGATTACGTACTACTACGACGTCCTTAAACATGACTCCTTCGATAGTACCATCGCAATGTTTCACATTCATGAGCCAGTCTCCAATGTGATTGATGTACTTCAAGCTTCTCCCCATTTGCCTCATATACGTGGCAACTGTGTCGTCTGACATTATTCAATCCTTCGGTATCCCTTTTCATGTGGGATGTTAATAAGTCATGCAGATCCACGGTACTCATTAGGAGGAAAAGGAAAACAAGATACACCCGCAAAGGCACACCGCGTATTCCGTGGATTCCCCTGCCTTGAGGCTCACCTATCGCCTTTGCCCACAGGGTATGCTATCGATGCTCCATCATGCTACATAGTGTTCTATCCCTCTATCTCTACCGAGGAAGATCGATCACTCTCGTCTCTGCACAAGGTCGTTTTTAACAGAAGGCGGTGATGATTTCTCATGAGGCTTGGTTGGCATGACGCCTGTGAGAGTGAAGGAAAGCGTAGCGTCGTGTGTGCTGTCAGACAAGCGTAGTGATTCTAAAAATGTGTTTTTTCCATGCATTCTTTCTCTACTGGTTATCTCTTGAAACTAAAATTCTATTGCAACTGCCCTTATAATGACCATAGGCTGTACAAAGCTGGAGCACCCACAGCAATGTGGCTGCTAAGTCCTCTACCACGGCGTCCAGTCCCTCCAGCATTATGCAAGGCGGTTGGTGAGGACAGGGAAAACATGACTGGAAGAATGATAGTTTTGCTTGCAAAAGAGAACAGCAACGACAGAATGAAAGGTAGAGGGGCCGAGCAAGGGAGGGAGCGAGGGGGAAGAGGAGGAGGAAGGTATTAGGCCAAAGCTGAGCTGCTCATACATTGATGGTCGCTGTTTTACGTCACAAGCTGGAATATCGGAAGGAGAAAGCTGTGAAAAGGATTGCATGTGTAAGTTTACAAAAGTTGATGACAAAATGGATGGATTCAAGAGGTAAATTAGAAGTAAGAGGGATAAAAATAGGTGATGAGGGTACGTATCCTCCGATATCATATTTGTGGGAGGATGGCTCATGACGTCGCATTGCTTCATGCATGCTAAATTTCAACCTTTCTTTTTCGTGGTTTTAGCTCCACTACAATCCTCGATGTGCCTTCTCGCTCTTTCGTTGTTCCTGTCGCTGTCACAGTTTTAGCGGAATCACGGGACCTACCATGTGGGTGCGAGGGGGTGGGGACTCGTTGGTCCGACACCCACTGGAGCGTATGGAGGATGGAGGATGCCTTTGACTATCACACAAACAACGCTACCAAACGAACATGTCCGACTGTGTCGCGGGGTGACGGAGATAAGCACGGTCATGCACATGGGGCTACTGCACCCTCACATCAATCTCGGCGGTACGAGACATCAATAACCCTACCCCTGGGATGCTTCACGCGGCCCATTGTCTGTAGATGGTCCATGCAAGAGGACGAAGCCTAATCAGCTCTCTGAAGGAACGCCTACGGTCTTCAAGATGATCACAAAGAAGAAAAAGAATACCAGGGAGGCATCCTCGTCGTTCAGAGAAGTGACTAACAGGGATTCAAGCAGTAAGAACGCCGAGCCAGCCACCTGTCGCATGTCCTCCTTTCTTTTCTGTTCTCAACCCCTTTCTTGCCTGCTTGCCTCCTATACCCCAGCCTTCCACCCCATGACACGCTCCCTCCATATTCTCCCTTCTTCTCCCATCCAAGCATGCTGCCTTTCTTCTCTCCCCCAGGCTTCCACGCTGTCCTTCCCCCTCCTGCCCCCTCGGCACGTGCCTTTTCCTCAGGACGGGAGGACCGGAAGGTCGATGCAGGGGTCCGAGTCGGGGGACGGAAGTCTCAGTCGTGGCCCTCCTCTTCTTTGTCCGTATGTACATCTCTTCGCCCTGGCCCCCTTCCTTCCCTCCCTCCCTCCCTCCCTCCTTCCACCCGCTTGCCGTTGTGGTCAGGTCGTACTTAAGGTAAGGATCGACCGCATTCTTTAATGCCTTCCAGATCGTGTAGAAATCCTCCTCCTTGTCCAGAAAATACGTACCGTTTTTGCTCAAAATCACCTGGGTATGTCAGGGTGGGAAGGGAGCATGGAAGAGGGCGCGGCAGGAGGGAGGGGGGAAGGGAGGGAAGGCCAAATGAGATGAGGGAGGGAGGAAAGCGGAATGGGAAAGAGATGTAAGGCCCCGGGGCCTTCGAATCCGATCATCCTGTGGGCCTGTGGAAGCCAGGGCGCAGGACGGGACGACAAAGCCGTGCATCGCACGAGCGGCCTTTCAGCGCCTGACCTTGCCTAACGGCTTGAAGGTAGGAGAGAGGCAGGGCAGGGGGAGAAGAGGGGAGGAGGACGTCCGTCGCTTCCCCTATCCCTAAACCCAACCCCAACCGGCCAAGGCGCCGACGATGCAGCCGACGGCAGCCAATACGGACAGCCTATCTCTCGACTCCAAAGAAGATTCGCTCTTCAGGCCGGTTGCGAGCAGCAACTATGCTTGATCCAGATAAGCAACGGCTCAGCAGAAGGGCACCGTGCCATTCTTTATCCGAATCAAGCATGGTCCCCCTCGCAAAGGACATGACGAGCGAATCTTCAACCGAGTCGAGCGGCGGACTGTGCATACGAGCTGCCATCGGCTGCATCGCCAGCGCCATGTTCGGTCGAGGCTGCAGTCGGGAGCGTCGTCGGCGATATGGACGTGGGAGTGTCCGACGCTGAAGGCACGAGGGAGGAAGAAAAGGAGGGAGGGAAGAAAAGAGGGTGGGAGGGAGATCAAGCCTCTAACTCCATACATCTTGGTCCGTGTTTTTTCCTATGGATTCTTCTCCTTTCAAAGCCATTGTCCTTTCACCTTCATCCTTACCTTTTCCATTCCATCCCCCCAACATCCCCACCATGTCCTGGGAAGGGCGGTCAAGGATACTTCCTGAGGGGGCAAAGGAGCGAAGGAGGGAGTAAGAGAGGGAGGGAGTAAGAGAGGGAGGGAGGAGAGGGTAGCGAAGTGTGGAGAGGAAGTGAGAGAGCGGCGAGAGGATGGAAGGGGAGGGGTGGAAGCAGGAACGAGTCGGCGTCGCATTCTCTTTGGAGACTCGCCCTTTTCTGTCTTGTCAAAAGAGAGCGAGAAGAAACTATAGAAGGAGAGGATGGTCTAGTCGGTGAGAATATATGCGAGGGGAGGGATGAGAAAGGAAGGAAGGGAGGGAGGGAGGGAGGGAGGGAGACAGCTACGAGAAGGTAGGTCGCCGAGGGCAGAATGTAAGATTCCACCCTTCGACAACCTTCTAATGTCCCACCTCCCTTTCTCCCTCCCTCCTCCATCCCTCCTTTGCTACCGTCCAAAACAAACCTTGGGGTTGACGATCTTCTCTCCCTTGGGCCCCCCTCTCTCCTGTGTCCCTGACAAAAGTTCCCTATGAAATTGCATAGTTGACAAATTTCAAGCCTAACCGCTTTAACAATGCCCCAAGATGTGGAGATAAGAAGGAAGGGCAAGAGGAACAGAAGACGACGGACGAGTCTGTCATGATTCATATTCCTAATCTTAACCTCAACTCTAACCTCAACCCTGAACTTAACCCTTATGCAAAGGAGTTTTGCTATTTGTTGCATAAAGCTTGAAGCACACCGATACAGCCTTCCAAAATGCCTTTCGCACAATCGTGTCGCAATTCGTATCTTAGCAAATTTGCTTTTGTGACAGATTGACCTTGTGGGTTTTTGGGTTGACGAAGAATCCTCGCATCAATAATAAGAAATATAGGACTTAGCATGGCTCGTGACGAGAGATATTCAAGGAGGCTTTCTAAAACAGCGACACATTGTTACTCACACTGGACCTGCCAACTGCCTTACCTCACAGGTATTCGGTATGTCGAGCAGTGAGCAAATGGCCACTTTATGAGTTTCGGAAAGCAAGAATTTTAAGATCCCATTTGTGGATTCCATGAGAGATCTTCTCGTTGCTCAACTTAAAACTGCGGCTAGTAATGCGGGGACATGGTGAATGATTTACGATTTATTTATACGTCAGACATACGAGAATGCTCTTCGAACCGACGCAAGCGAACAGTAACAACCAAAATATGTGCTATTCTCAATCTTGCAGTACATTTTGGTCCAAGACGGCTAAAATGTTTTGTGAAGGGCGAGGAAAACGACACAAAAGACGAGCAGACTCTGTCGGACAAGGGATGGTAAACGCCGGACTATCTTGAGCTTATTGCCAACACATACAGCCTTCTGTGAGCATTTCCTTGCCATACCACACGACATCATGCTTTTCATATTTTTTTGTGTGTGTGCAGATGTTTGTATATCACGATCAATCGTGGTAATTATTGGGTTGGTGTTACATCATCTTGCCCGCCCGCTCTTCAGCCGGATGGACGGACCTGACCGTTCTCTCAGGAACAAATAGTGGAAAAAATTAGACACCCATGCCCAAAAACTCTCCATCGTGTACCAAAATTTCGGTCAGACTGTCCTGCAAGGCAAGGAATCTAATTTCTCGGAGGTGTGGAGGGATAATGTGTACATTGATTGAGCACTCTCCGTCTGCCGATCATTTCTGGAGATTCTCGACACTGGTTCACCGACCGATGTTTCCCAACCTGCTAAACTCTCGAGCTCTTTGTCCAACGTAGGTTTGGCTTGGGCCGCTGATGCCGTTACCTTACTCAATTTAATAGAAAAATTGTAACGGTGATATATCTACATATTGCACCGGATGAGATGTTCTTGCGGATCTCATGCTTCTGGTACCTGTAGATCGAATCTTCCCTCTCATCGAGCATAATATCCACTCCGCCATCTATCCGCAGGGATGGCCTCACCTTCCCGGCTCATGAGTCCTACCAACACGGCCACCACCGTCACCGTCACGACCGGCAGCGCCGGTGAAGGAAGCAGTGACAGCCTGGAATCAGATGAATCGTCCTCTGCTAATACCTCCTCCTCCCCCGCCCGCTCGACCGATGACCGATCCCGCGCTCCCCGCATCACTCGAAGCCGAAGCGGGCAGCTCAAGGAGGCATGCGAACATGCGGGCACACCAGGGAAATCCTTCGACCTCCACGTCACCCTCCCCCCCGACCCTAGCGAGAGAGGAAGCCCTCCTAGCGACCTCGGTACTCCAGCGAACCCGTCCGCCCCTCGGCCAGGCTCTCTCCTCCGTCGACATTCAGATTACCCGCGGAAGATCTCCCACACAAAGCCTTCCCTCGACCCGAAGCCCATCACCTCGCACTCCGTCTCATTCAAGGAGGACCACCCGTCCAAGGACGAGATGCCCGCCCCCGTAACCAAGTACTCGCGGTCTCTGACCATGGGAGCGGCCGACCTCCGCGGGCTCAAAGCTCTCAAATCGCCTTCTTCCAGGTCTCGCGGCGGCTTCGAGCCGGCCTCCCCCTTCCAAAAAGACCTGGAAGCGCGCTGGCTGGAGGCGATGGCCAAACGCCGGCGGCGGGAGGAGGAAGCCTCCCCCGAACCGCGCCCCCCCTGGCCGGCCCAGTTGGCGCGCTTCGCCTCTTTCTCCGCCATTGACACGCCCCGGCCCCCGCCCGTCATGGCCTCGGACAGCATGTCCCTGCTCGTGGACGACGTGATGCCGCACGCCCTCTCCCGCCTCATGTCCGGTCGGATCACCCCCAAGGAGTTTCAGGAGGCGAGGGCGCTCTGTCTGCCTGGCACCTGGGGACATCGGGCGCTCCTGTGGGCGGCCTGTTTTGCGGCCTTCGGGGCTGCGTACGCCAAAACCATCATAGCCGCCGTCGCTCCCTCTCTGATCGAGGATTTCGGCATCTCCAAGAGTGTGTACGGGGCTCTGTCGGGCCTGCCGGCCATCAGGTGGGAGGGGAGGGAGTAACCCTAC